GCTCTAGTCCTAGGGAGTTATGGTTCCTGGTATCATAACTTATTATTACAGTTATTACCTGTACCCCCTGACTTACCTGTAGAACCTCAGTGTTGAATCACCCCTCAGTGTCAAGCTAAACTGGTTCGGCTCTAGTCCTAGGGAGTTATGGTTCCTGGTATCATTGGATACAAAGCCAAACCCAGAGGTCACTTGAAGGTCACTGATGTCCAGCAGGTTGGAGCACTTCAATCGAAGTTTGAGAGCTGACGAGTGGACAGCACAGGAGGTACGTAGTCCGTCGTGGTATGGAATCGTTATGGTAACCCGTACCATGTTAGGATGGACAGGGTCACTGGGACCTGTTAACAAAAGCATGATTGTCAAAAAAGAAGTTCAGGGTTTCAAAACATTTCAGATGATGTGTACAGAATCTCACATAGCAGCTATAAGCCATTACCCCCAAAATAATTTTACCTGGAGCATGATATAGGTCACTGAAAATTTATGAAATTTCACATCAACCTAATTATGACCATAACGAGCCAGCAACACAGTTCAATGTGTTTTACACAACATAGCCTTGGGTGATAATCCACATTCCTATAGTACCCCTCGGGTGATAATCCACATTCCTATAGTACATGTACTAAGTTTTACACAACATAGCCTTTGGTCATAATCCACATTCCTATAGTAGCCTCGGGTGATTATCCACATTCCTATAGTACATGTACTCCTCGGGTGATAATCCACATTCCTATAGTACATGTACCCCTCGGGTGATAATCCACATTCCTATAGTACATGTACCCCTCGGGTGATAATCCACATTCCTATAGTACATGTACCCCTCGGGTGATAATCCACATTCCTATAGTACATGTACCCCTCGGGTGATAATCCACATTCCTATAGTACATGTACCCCTCGGGTGATAATCCACATTCCTATAGTACATGTACCCCTCGGGTGATAATCCACATTCCTATAGTACATGTACCCCTCGGGTGATAATCCACATTCCTATAGTACATGTACCCCTCGGGTGATAATCCACATTCCTATAGTACATGTACCCCTCGGGTGATAATCCACATTCCTATAGTACATGTACCCCTCGGGTGATAATCCACATTCCTATAGTACATGTACCCCTCGGGTGATAATCCACATTCCTATAGTACATGTACCCCTCGGGTGATAATCCACATTCCTATAGTACATGTACCCCTCGGGTGATAATCCACATTCCTATAGTACATGTACCCCTCGGGTGATAATCCACATTCCTATAGTACATGTACCCCTCGGGTGATAATCCACATTCCTATAGTACATGTACCCCTCGGGTGATAATCCACATTCCTATAGTACATGTACCCCTCGGGTGATAATCCACATTCCTATAGTACATGTACCCCTCGGGTGATAATCCACATTCCTATAGTACATGTACCCCTCGGGTGATAATCCACATTCCTATAGTACATGTACCCCTCGGGTGATAATCCACATTCCTATAGTACATGTACCCCTCGGGTGATAATCCACATTCCTATAGTACATGTACCCCTCGGGTGATAATCCACATTCCTATAGTACATGTACCCCTCGGGTGATAATCCACATTCCTATAGTACATGTACCCCTCGGGTGATAATCCACATTCCTATAGTACATGTACCCCTCGGGTGATAATCCACATTCCTATAGTACATGTACCCCTCGGGTGATAATCCACATTCCTATAGTACATGTACCCCTCGGGTGATAATCCACATTCCTATAGTACATGTACCCCTCGGGTGATAATCCACATTCCTATAGTACATGTACCCCTCGGGTGATAATCCACATTCCTATAGTACATGTACCCCTCGGGTGATAATCCACATTCCTATAGTACATGTACCCCTCGGGTGATAATCCACATTCCTATAGTACATGTACCCCTCGGGTGATAATCCACATTCCTATAGTACATGTACCCCTCGGGTGATAATCCACATTCCTATAGTACATGTACCCCTCGGGTGATAATCCACATTCCTATAGTACATGTACCCCTCGGGTGATAATCCACATTCCTATAGTACATGTACCCCTCGGGTGATAATCCACATTCCTATAGTACATGTACCCCTCGGGTGATAATCCACATTCCTATAGTACATGTACCCCTCGGGTGATAATCCACATTCCTATAGTACATGTACCCCTCGGGTGATAATCCACATTCCTATAGTACATGTACCCCTCGGGTGATAATCCACATTCCTATAGTACATGTACCCCTCGGGTGATAATCCACATTCCTATAGTACATGTACCCCTCGGGTGATAATCCACATTCCTATAGTACATGTACCCCTCGGGTGATAATCCACATTCCTATAGTACATGTACCCCTCGGGTGATAATCCACATTCCTATAGTACATGTACCCCTCGGGTGATAATCCACATTCCTATAGTACATGTACCCCTCGGGTGATAATCCACATTCCTATAGTACATGTACCCCTCGGGTGATAATCCACATTCTTATAGTACATGTACCCCTCATGTGATAATCCACATTCCTATAGTACATGTACCCATCGGGTGATAATCCACATTCCTATAGTACATGTACCCCTCGGGTGATAATCCACATTCCTATAGTACATTTACCCCTCAGGTGATAATCCACATTCCTATAGTACATTTACCCCTCGGGTGATAATCCACATTCCTATAGTACATGTACCCCCTGGGTGATAATCCACATTCCTATAGTACATTTACCCCTCAGGTGATAATCCACATTCCTATAGTACATGTACCCCTCGGGTGATAATCCACATTCCTATAGTACATTCAGTTGTACTTCAAAAAAGGTCATTAATGTACAAGCATTTCAGTTATAGACTTTGAACCTTGCTTTGAACTTTGACCTTAGGGTACAGATCTCTCTGTTCACACAGTCTTGTCTGGATACACACGCCTAATACGGTTTTATTAAATATTCTTTAGTAAAGTACAGATAAGTTCAGACCAGACAAAGGGACTGCTATATATACCCCATAAAGTACAGACATGTTCAGACCAGACAAAGGGACTGCTATATATATCCCATAAAGTACAGACAAGATCAGACCAGACAAAGGGACTGCTATATATACCCCATAACTTTGAAGGCAGTATAATTAAATGATCCTATGTGACAAAGAATAGAAACATTAATTCTCAATCCAATACATAATTCTACCATGAGTTTATTTCCATGCCTCCCTCAGTTTTAAGTATCTTGCTAATAAACCTTTTCTCTATATCAGAGTTACTGTTGTTGTATTGAGTTTTACCTAGGTATCTAAGACGGCTGCTGAACGGCTCGGACCCGATGGAGGCTGGGTTCCTGGGAGGACAGAGTCCCTTGTCAGTACTAATAGTGACTCAATCTCCCGCCCCCGATCACCATCAAAGTTGACAGCACGTGCCAGACACTGCACTTTGCTCCCTGAAGCACAAAGATTAAATAAATTAACAAGACAAATTTATTACTTATCACTACATTCAACTGTATTTTAATTTCAACTAGAACACTGACAGGTTAGCAAGAGCCATTCCAGGTGCCTGACTATCCCCCCCCCCCCCCCCCCCCCCATCTATTTTTAGTAACAGTTATGTTTACCTTGACCCTACAAACCCCTACTGCACAGTCTACATTTCACAGCTAGTGTATCATCATATCAAATTTCGGAAAGAAGAGCTGTCTTTCGGTTTCTGAGATAATCTCTGGAAACAAAAGCATGGACGGACAGATGGACGACACCCGATTAGTTCTGATGCAGGTTCATAATAAAGAAATCAAGAAAATTTCAAAATCTTATATATTACAAAGAAAACTTTAAAACAGGTGTAACACAGAGCTATCTTATAAACTTAACCTTTTTACTTCACAGTTGTATTGTTTCTAAGACTGACCTCTGTTGAAGTAGATGCTGTCCAGAGTTATTCCCCTTGTTGAGGCGAAGAATGTTGATGCTTCCAGTTCCCGAAGAGGCTTTGTGATACCATCAGGACCACTAGGGGGAGCCACTTTCCAGTGGAATTTTGTAAGGGTATCGTTGATTTCCTGAGTCTGACAAAGTGTTCCTGTTGATGTGGCGAAGTCTGGATGTTTGGGGTTACAGGGCTATAAATAGAAATACAGTAAACCATACAGTACACATACAATACACACACATTTAACATATTGCTCAAGATATTACCTCTTTTAAGAGATCACTTTTAATACACCTCATTACAGGTTTTTTTATGTTTTAAATGAACCTATATTTAGAGACCATCTGTGTTAAGGCAAAGGATCTACCAAGAAACCCCTTTTTAAATATGTTCACCCTCGAACACTACAAACCAAGGTTCTAACTCCAGGTGTCAGCACACCATTTGTACTATGACTTTGAGAATAGTATGCTTCCACCGGGGATCGAACACTCAATCTCCAGGTTCCTAGTCGGACGCCCTATGACTGAGATAAAGGGAAATTCCCTCTAGCTCGATGCTAGAAGGCGACCATATCCTATAATGTACAATTAAAATCTGCCACACAGAGTACTCCCCCCTTTTTAAATGTGTTCACCCTCGAACACTACAACCCAGGTTCCAACTCCCTGTCACAACAGGGAGGGCCACGGACACCATTTGTAACAGGAAAGAGAATAGCGTGCTTCCAACGGGGATCAAACCCTTGATCTCCAGGTACAATACAATACAATAAACTTTATTTAACGTAGGATATTTAAAAACATTTAACATTAGCTATTAAAAGCTATATATATTATTCCGACAACATAAGTAAAAAGCATCAAATCAAAAAAAATACCTATAAAAAACATTATGGTTCATGGTTCATGGTAGTCGACGTCTCCGTAAGCATAGTATTGCTTCTGTTGACGCTTCTTCATTGTTGTTCACATATTTACAGGTTGTGCAGAGGACGCGTATACAACTTATATTACAATACATTAGTAGCACGATGGGAAAAACTTGACTGGATGGTTGACCCAATGTTATTGAGTCTAGATTTAAAAACATTTAAGGTTGGGGAATATACCAGTCGTAGGGAGTTGATTCCAAATATTTACAATTATATTTTTAAAAGCATGTCCCCTAATGTTGGTCTTGTACCAATTTTTTTTTAGTTTCCCCCTCGTATTGAGGATGTCAAAGGTAGGGATGATTTGTTGGTTGGTTATATCTATGGTGTTTATCAGCTTATAGATTTCTACCATGTCAGATCTTAGTCTTCTATATTCAAGTGATGGTAGCCCTAGCCGACGGATACGCTCTGGGTACAAGAGATCTTTAAGGGATATGGAACTAGCTCGGTTGCCCTTCCTTGAACATTCTTTTTTCAGTATAGGTGACCATGTGGTGACATTAATTTCAAGGTATGGACGTACCAAGTATTAATAAAGGTTGAGAAACATTTCCTTGTTTATACAACTGAAGGTTATTATGAAACAGAAAGTGTTAAAACATAAGTCTCCATGCAAAGTTATAAGCTAAATATATATACATGTATACATATAGCATGACGGTAATGTTTACCGTATAATACATATTAGCATAAAATGCGCTCATCACATCCCACAGAGCAGACGACTAAAGTAGTATGCCATATTACTTTAGTCATTATATGCCTTCCGCACGATATAATTCATCACGAGACACGCACCTGTCATGTTGGTAAATTCGAGATACATTGTATCTCATTCGGGACTAATGCTTTTCAATGAAAGGGGTAATGTAACGTTCCATGGATGTTTGAATTTACAGGAAATGTGTATGATTAGGAAATAAGAAGTCAATTTATTGTATGCTGAAGAGAATCAGATGAGATTCGTTGATTATTTACGAGTCGCATGTTCTGAATTTACACATACACGACCCATGATGATAAAGCAGCACGGGAAGACGTTTTAGAAGTGTACGCATCATATAAATAGTTACCGGAGACTTGAATCTTCATAGTTACATGTCATATTCATTTGTATTTCATTGTAGAACGATTATTTTAGCCGGAGATGTCGACAGACGAATTTCGCAAACATCGGAACTCTTTAGTGTGGGAGGGTCGAAACTAATACCCAAATGAAAACCAGGCAACGAATACGGACATTTCATTTCTAATTTGGCAAGAAAGGTCGCGTGCGATTACTCAAGTAGTATAGTATAAAAAGTCGAGAACGTCGATTTTATTCGTCTGCTTGATAACCGAACTACTCGGTAGTGAAGCGGACGTAAAACCTATCAATCAATCAATCACTCAATCAATCGATTTCAATGTCATTAATTCCATTAAATATCTCATGCAGATAGGCTCTGACCAGGGCATCAGGATGGATATTGAACTGGTAAACCTTTTAGATAACGTCAGTGAAGGCAAATTCGTCACGTTAGTAAGGGTTTCTGTTAATAATTCGACCAAATAGGCATGTATCAAAATGCCGACGAGCACCAATACAGAAGAAGATTCGACTGAAATGCCTATAAATAAACATTGTTGTAACACGCCTGAATGACGTCACGCAGCAACATTTGTGACGTCATCAGGCCTTCCGTGGTTTTTCTCAAAGGTGCAGGCAGTTTCGCCACCTTCACAAATCTAAATGTTTAAATGTAAAATTTTGTATGTTTATGTTACACAAGCTGTACTGATACGAACAGCTCCAAATGTGTGTGTGTAACAATGATTAACATTGAAATACATGGCTTTTCTTAGTTGTGATAGTTAGTTTTCGGTAACTTGAAGAAACTGATTAATGTTGTTTAAGAAAGATGACGGGTATCGGCTGAGATGATGTCAATTTACATGATACGCAATAAAGACTCTGTCCTTAACAAATATAAACTTCCAAATCGCTGCCCAATATTATATTTTTCATCGGGTCAGGATGAGAGGGTCAAGGGGCTTTCAACGATCGCCTTTCAGATATAAATCTAGAAAATTTCTAGATGATATTTTAATTTAAGTGTTGTAAGATTGTTGAACGTAAGACGCAAACAACACTTTTAAAAAGATACTGGTTGATTGTATTCTAAATACACATTGCATGAAAATGAAACTGACGAATTATCAAATCGCGGATCTTTCCGATCGTCATTTCCATAAACTGGCAGTGTATCGTCAGTACATTGTACATGTTGTTTAGTTCAAGTTAAACATATTTTATTGCAATATAATTACTAAAGGATTGGACACAAGTTCTTGCAACTTACAAACGCCCTTTCCATAATGGTTTACAACATATAAATATAATGCAATTTATAATAATACATAAATTAATTTATAATAATACATAAATTAATTTATAACAAACACATACTTGAGAGAGAGAGAGAGAGAGAGAGAGAGAGAGAGAGAGA